ATATTATTTGTAATCAGGAATAAGAGGCGAAAAGAGCCGTTGCTAGGTGTTCGTGCATAAATTCAACTTATATTATGGATATAAATTACATTCAAAATCAAACGTTTCTGCCTATGTTAGGCCTTTCTCAGTGACATTACGAAAAATTACAAAATAAATACATTGTCTTGATAGTCGAAACATTAAAAATTAAATAAATAAAAACTATAAGCTACGCAGTGATTTCTTCTTATTAATTAGAATCCAATGTGAGGATATATACAATTGGAATTCTAATGGAAGAGCCAGGTAATGTGACATTATCTTTTCAACTATTTGATCAAGTTGACACATTTATTCCTATGGTTTTGACACTTTGGTTTTTAAGTTTTAACGAAATATTTTATTATGAGTGTTGAAGGCGAATCATGGGACAATATCTATCTCTGGCTTTTCCATTAGAATTCCAATTGTATATATCCTCACATTGGATTCTAATTAATAAGAAGAAATCACTTTGCAACGGCTTGCAACGGCTCTTTTCGCCTCTTATTCCTGATTATTGTTAATTTTGGAGCTTATTACTAATTCTAAATTGTAATATTATTTGTATTTAAAATGTATACTTTATTCATTTTTATGCCTTAGAATCTTATGTAACGTTATTTGGTAAGCCTAGAATTTTAAAGATAAGATTTCAATACATCTCAGTAAAGTTTTAAGTCTATCAAATAATATGATGTAAGATTCTAAAAGATAAAAATAACTAAAATATACATTTTAACATTAATACAAATTAAATATGATTAAAATGTAAATTTTTAATTTTATTTTAATTAGTTGTGTTTTTTTTCATATTAAATTGTGCGCGTGTAGCGCGCGCAATGTTCTAAATTTATAAATTACAAATTTTGTTTTAATTTATTGATTGAATAATAATCAATATGATTAATGAGAACATTCAAATACTTACAAAATCCAGCTAATTAAACGGTTGACTCCGAAATAAAATCGTACGAGAGCGTGATTGATATGTTTATGTCGAGAGAATGCCGCAAGTTCCCAATAAATACAAACAAAACTTCCATATTATTCGAACGACTTCCCTCCGCGGGTGTGCGCTCGCAACAGAATGCGCGCGTTAGATTCGTATCGCAGGAGAAAACGATCGTAGGACGTGTTACTATTGCGGACATCTCGCGAGCACGCGTACGCACACGTCAGGCGGATTTTTCTAGGTGTAGCTTCCTGCCTGACGTCACAATTAGTCTGATTATAATTACGAGCGAGAGAGAGAGACAAACGGCAGAAAAAGCGATGCGCGAAGAACAGAGAAACGCGCATTAACGGCGTAGCGAAGGACGGTGGAGCTGACAAGCGGGATAATTAGGCGGGACGGGACAGGACGTGCGCATTAATTAATTAGCCCAATCTAAGCCTACTTCGCTTATTGTGTGCGCCCGTGCGCACACGAACTCGACGCGACCTCAAAACCTATCCGCCACGATTTCGAAAGCGATCACGTCGCATAGAGTCTCCCTCAAACCGTTTCATTTCGTGGGAGTGTTATCGAAATCTTGTCACCAGTAGATTTTAGATGATTGTTATTCGTCTTGTTTGTATAAACATAAAAATAATTATATTAAAGAATATATATCCTGTGTAAAAATTATAACGTTAATGATGTTATAATTTGAATAATATTTATTATGATTTGATTGTATAAGTTTAATTTTTTTTCATTTATAGATTTTTTATTTATCACATAGATCGATTTTATAGATTGATCATTTATCGATTGATTATTTGTACTCAGTAGTATAATAATGATTTTAACTTTAAAATATATCGCGCGCAGTAGCGTTTATGTCATAGTCGTTAAAAATTGAAGGTTTCCAGTAAAAATTTTATTTTTTAATTAGTTTATCACACGAAATTTAAGTTTAGTAATGTTTAAATTGAACTTTTAGCACCCCCATTAAGTTGGACCCCACACCATCGCCAAATCAAGTCGCACCTATCAATTAATTTAGTGCTAATTATGTGCTAATTAGTTGCCGCAATCCGGATTTTGTTGCTCTTACCGTTTAGCAGGAATTCACGTTTAAAGTGGGGGGGGGTCGAGCTTGACATTAAGCTTAAGATTAATTTGACACCAGAAACATACGAGCAACAAATTATTTCAACTAATTATAACGTTTTTAATCCGCGCCATACCGTTCCGCGACGACAAAGTGTCGCTTCTCGATACTTTAAAACGAGCAACAAATTCAGTTCTATTTTTTGTAATAGTATATTGTTTGTTGATTAATTTGACACCAGAAATATACGAGCAACAAATTATTTCAACTAATTATAACGTTTTTAATCCGCGCCATACCGTTCCGCGATGACAAAGTGTCGCTTCTCGATACTTTAAAACGAGCAACAAATTCAATTTCTTATATATTTCGATAATACAGAGTCTGTAGATTAATTTGGTACCGAAATCATACGAGCAACAAATTTCTTTTAGTCAATTTTACTTAGATTGTACATGACATGGTGCAACGTAATCATTCTTAAGTGAAGTCGCATCTTTTAATTAATTTATAATTATTAATTTAGTGCTAATTATGTGCTAATTGCTGTAGTCCGGATTTTGTTGCTTTTACCGTTTAGCAAGAATTGATGTTTGTATTAAGTGAGCTATCTTGATATTAAGTTAGCCCCCCCCCATAGCGGAAAAAAATATATAGAGTGCTCGAATCAAGAAATTATTAATGCTAGAATTTGTTACTATTTTGTTGCTCTAAGATAGCGTGAAAACATTTTGAAAAAATTGCATTATTTAAGATATACACACCACTATACGACACTACGCATTTACTGTAAATAATACTCAGCGCCATCAGCGCAATTAACGTCAGAAATCGGAAACTGGACATTTTAGCAGGACATTTTAGCTGGACATTTTTATCGTATTATTTTAGACATTTCGACTTTGGATTATTATAACTTTTTTTCTACAGCACCTACAGTAAAAACAAGCATACTTTTCTTATATAATTTGGGTATGCGCTATCGATTGAGCCTAATATCAACTCAATCGGCCCAGCCGTTATTGAGATCCGATAATCTCGGCTCGTCTCAACTTTCGGCCTCGCGTAAAGATACACGGTCGGTCTTGCGCTGCGCGTGAATTTGCGCGAGACACTACCGTGTCTCTTGATAATTTTTTCAAAATGTTCTTACGCTATCTTGGAGCAACAAAATAGCAACAAATTCTGGTATAAATGATTTTTTGATTCGAGCACTCTATATATTTTTTTGTTGTGGGGGGGGGGCAGCTTAATGTCAAGCTGGCTTTCCCCCCCTCCCTCCACTTTAAACGTGAATTTCTGCTAAACGGTAAGAGCAACAAAATCTGGATTGCAACTAATTAGCACTAAATTAATTGATAGGTTCGACTTGATTTGGCGATGGTGGGGGGTGCAGCTTAATAGGGGTATTTTTAGCTACTTGATTATTGAATGCCGATAGTTAAGAATGAAGAAAACATTGTTTTCTATCAAATTTATAATAGACGGAAATGGATCGTAAATTCGGTAGAGGATCTATGTATAGCCGGCGGGTAGCAGAAGATTGCGCATCCGTGTTTCATTTAATGGGCCTTAATGTCCTAACGGAGGACAATCAACCCGTGAGGTCCGCAATGCGGCGTCTCGATTTCCGCGTGCGAGCAACAAGCCATCAAGCAACAAACGCATGGAGATATCGGGGTCTTTAGCGAGGTCAGACCGCCCCTGGCTATAGCTTTCCCCCCTTGCCGTTGCGCGTCCCTGAAAAATAATTAATTTATGCTAACGAATGAGAAGCGTAACGGCTGGCGCTCTTAAATTCGCGCCATTGAGCGGCCAAGTGTCCGTAAGTCCCTCCTGCGAGCGAGAGTCCCTCGCGCCCGCTCCTTGCTCCTCATCTCGTTCCGCTCTTTTCTCTCTCGCTCGACTGGTTTCCGTCGAACTGGTTGCAACCCGTGGACGCGACCGCTCTCTCGACATCTGGGAGACCGGGAATGAGTACGAGAATAGAGGATCGAGATCGGACTCTGAACTTCTTCAGGAGAAATATCTTTGCATAATTAAATTTTATTATCAGAAATTAAAGCGCGTTGTCAGTTGCAACGACTTCCTAATTTTTGAACAACGATTTTCACAATTGCCTGTTGGAATTGTAAGCTATTGATGCATTAAAACTGTCAAGTACTTTTCACAAGAATTCTGAACAACTGTGTTGAATTATAGCTTGAGTCACTCACAATTGTAACTGACATTTTAGTGAAATTATTATCTATTAATGTTATGATTTTTAACAATTATTAATTATTATTATTTTATTATTATTATTCATTACTATCATTCATCATTTCATCAATTATTATTTTTAACAATTATTTTAAATTAGAATATTTAGAGATTTACATTGTTTAAAAATTATACATTTATTTATTATGATAAGTGTATTTAAAGATAAATATTCTGTTTTTTTAAGTCTTTACAATTTTAAAAACAAAAAACACCAAATGTACTGATATTAATTGTATAATAGCGGTAACAAATATTTTAACAGTTTTCAGGAAAATGCGCACGACTCATTTGCCGTCATTCTTACCATTCCGACCATTTTTCACTTAATCTTTTTTCTCAGGAAAATTAAGTCGAATTCACGTGCAGCCGCTCGAATATAATTCAGTAACAATGCGTCGCGGCGCGAACAGTCTAGTCATCCTTTTCTCCTCTTCTTCCCCTCATTGTAAAACCACCCTTTCTTCCAAGAGAAATCTGTATTTGCTACCCAAGTATAATAATAAGCTCTTTGCAGGCTTTGATTTTGTCTGTTATTCGAAAAAAAGGGGAATCAGACAGGCATTGTAACCAATTTTGAGATTTTGTCGGTAATCGTCGTAAATCGCGATATGAAAGTGCATCGCGTTTCTAAAATTCTATGTATAAATCATACTAATTACCACGTTTTTGTTACAGGTGTGTTTGAAACAACGGCAGAACCAACGGATTGCAGTGGCGGGACATCGACCGGTCAGTAAAAATTTCATTATTACATTCATTATTACATTACGTAAATTGTTCAGAATAAGAGCGCGAAATGTTGGTTAATGCTGCTTCGAAATCTCAGTGGTCAACAAAAATACAGATGCGAGATTAATTGTATGAAAGAAAGCTCAACGACGTCATTAACGATACGCAAATCACCGGCGTTATTACGAGCGTTGTAGAGATTGAAGAGCAAACACGGCGATGAACACAGCGAGAAGCTACTCGAGAATTGTTCTACGAAATTTCGGAGGGAGTATCCGAGGAGGGAAACGGCCCTCGCGATGGTGGGGTTACTATGGGAATTTTATAACGAATAAAATTTTAAGCGCCTTATAAAACCTGGCAAGTGTGCACTAGCAGTCTGTAATATGGCCCGTATATCCGTGCACCGTCTCGTGTACATAAGGTCCGTCTCTCTTCTTCTGTCGTTCCTCTCTGATCTCTCCCCTGCTATTCGCTCCCCGTATTCAACTCCCCCCCCCTCCCCTCTTACAACGTGTCTTCTTTGTGCACGCTCCGGACAGCGATATTTATTATTTCGTACTCGTCTTCTTTATTATTTCGTTGCGACGTTCTGCGAGACGATGCTCAGACTGTCCGCGCGCGATTTTAACGAGCCAGAGTTATAGTGAACCTTTTAATGGTCCTACATATTTGCGGACTTGGCGTTTCGACAATAGCATATAAATAACTTGCATAAAGTAATAATGAAAATTTTATGCGTGCGACACTACGGGTGTAAATGGATCGATAAAGATAAATTTGTTTTATATGAAATCTAGAAATTGTATTATTCTTAATCTAAAATCTTTGAGAATGCGAGAATAAAGCGAAATCTAACGTTTCTACTATCGCGATTTTTTTAATTACGGTAAATAATACAGACACACATAGAACGCGGCCGATTTCAAGCCCAACTTTCCAATGCCACCTGGCAGGCAGTTAGAATCGAATTAAGAGCCTCGTATGCAGCACGCTTTTCATACACGAGCATGCGTTCATATTGCCGCTTTAATGATATTTCGGAATGTAAAAATGCCCAGCCTAGCCAGAGACCCTAATTGGCTGACTGGTTATCTCTCTCGGAAGAGTCCGGAAACTTCGGTGGCGAGAGTAACATGTACGTGTTATCCGTCTTTCCTTGAGGCCACGTTCCGTAGCGAATAAGGCCAGTACCCTTATTTACTCGCTATATCCTGCGTTTGCGTACGCATAGCTACGTATATACTTACAATGTTTTTCTATCGAGACGTGGAATAGCCAAAGGATATAGTGATCTTTTGCACAACGAAGATACAACATCAGGATAACGCGTGTTATTCGTAATTATCGACACAAGTACCAGCTTTGAGCTCGGTAAAATGATCATTAATTCGAATCAATATGAATTTGAATGCACAGTTTAATGCGCTTTTTTTTTATTATACATATTACGAGTATTATAAATTTGGTGTATAAAAATATCACAATTACCGCATTCTCGATAATTAAATTCAATAATACTTTTTTCCTAATTCAACTGTGTTAATTTCGAAACACGCGAATATTAATGATGCTTAATTATGTCAGAATGGAATATTTTGATAACGCATATCATGCGGCACGTTATTTAGCAGAAAACCGTTTTGTGGCGATTATTTTTCGTGACTCACCACATATTTACCATATATACATCTCCGTGTCGAAATCAACGGGGAGGGACTTATAAGCAGAAGAAAGTTCGCTCAATCGGCACCAGATTGTATACTCAATCTAGTCAGTATCTATGACAAGAATCGAACAAGCGAGCTTCGACAGCGTGTGTAATTAATTACCAAAAGTAGAAGGATCGGCCGTAGGGGAGATACGAGACACCACCCGCAGGACTACTCAGCATATCCTCGTCACGATTCCCAGAATTCTTTATCCTAATACTTCTAGCAGTGAGTCTTAATTTTATTTATTTATTTTAACATTATGCCGAAGATGCAAGACTCGTTTAACTTCGCTTGCTGTTTATTGCCTTTGGTTAAATCAGTTCCTTCATTGTTCGCGCACAGTAGAAAGTGAAGTCCATTCGGCGATAACAACTCGCAGCGGACTCTATATCGGTCCGTAGGAAAAATAGTCGATGCTTTATTATAACTCATTCAGGCGTATCGGAAGGCCTTAGATCGGTCTTGGAAATGAGTACAACGCACTTGAACGCTGGTGGATTCGCAGTTTTATTGTTGAAATAAAAATGTCTTACACGCCATTCGTTTAAGACATAAGATTTAAAAGATATGTTGTATCTCTCGTAATAATTGTAACGACGTGTATTTATAACATGTCTCACTCGTCGCAAAAGGAGTTAATCCCCGCGATACAGCCCGAGAGTGCGACGACACTATCTCGCGACCGGGAATCAAGAGGTACTTTTTAATGATCAGCGAAATGACGCACACATTCCTGCGCACTTCTCGCTCGGGGAGGGAACGGCGCGGAGTGATCGGCACGGCGCGGCGCTAATCCGAGGCGAGATAATAAATTCTTCCGCGATAGAAGGAATAAAAATTGCGACGCGTACGTAACGCACCTGCGCGGGGAAATACTTACGGAGAAATAAGAGGTGAGAAGGCGCGATCTTCCATAAAATCTTCCAGACCGCTGCCGCGCGCGCCGTCCGTACGCGTACGCGCCGTGAAATATTTATCACTCGCGCTAGTAGATAACATTTATTTACGATTCCCCATCGCGGTCCACACGCTTTAAGAAAAGATCATTCAATCGGGTATAACAATAAACTACGTCCCTCGGTGTTCAAGCACTCTTTCTTTTTTCTCTTTCTCTCGTTATCAAGCTCACGTACGACGGAGTCTTCTTCGAAGAAAAGGAGAGTCCCCCGAAAATAGCCCAACTAAAATCAGTTTTGGGGAACGCGTAGACCGTGGCCAAGGTGACCGCAATGATATCTCGAGTCCGGTGTTATAAAACTCAGTTATGAGAGCTGGTCGATAAATTCCGATCGACCTACTGGAATCTTCGATTTCGAATTCAGGTAGTCACAACGATGACGGTGAAGGTGACCTCCTCCCTCCCTTCCTCCCGCAGGTGCACAAGATGTATTGTTATAATTCTCGGAAAATTTCGGAAACTTCTCACTCTTTCTTTTTCTTTTTCTGTCTCTTTCAAATCCGCTGCGTTACAGACGAGTGTCTAATAGCAACTTGTAATATATGCATCTGGCATATAACCTGGCCGATACTTAATCTTTGACAAAGAACCAAAGATCAATTCAGAAGAATACCTAAGACGCTTGCCCTGGAACCCTATAACTCTTGTTCTGGGACTCTTAGTCCCAGTTTTGTTGCGCCGCAAGATTATCCTTAGACCATTGACATTTTTCTATGTAATTCTTCCTAGTTCTAATCTTTTGTTCTAGCAATTTCTCGTTCTGGTTATTTGCCTTTTATTCCATTTCTTTCATGCCGGTTTTAGAAATCCCTTTCCTTGCCATCCTTCTCCTTCATAGGTGCCGGTGAAAGTATTTTTTCTTTTTCCTTGAGTTCCTTTTTTTTTGTCCATTTGCAAACTATGCATCAATAACGACCTTGAACTCACAAACCAATGCATCGGTGGTGCACGCTATTTTACACGCATTGTTCTTCATCCAGGTATGTCATGTTTCGTTTCATTTCTAACGGCCAAATATATTTTTATTAAGTGAGAAATATTTAAAGAGCGTCATTTGCGTTGTTTAAAAATAATAATAAATTGCAATTATAAGAAGACAATAATATAATATTAAATATCATAGTGACAGTAATTATTTTAAAAGACTTTTTTGATAAAAAAGTTCCTTTACTTTTTAACCTTTCTTGGTATTATCATACTCTATATTTTTTTAAATATATTGATTGAATAGACAATGTATATTGTATATTTATTTTTGATATATTTTGTATATAGTTGTTTTTTTTTTCATCATTTCTGTAGCCCTTGGTGGAACAGAAACGAGAAATCATCGCGCTTCGGCGATTTCTTCGCGGTTATTTTACTTTCCATAGTCGAATCCTCGACGGAGGTAAGGTGACAATCTTCACCTGGCCGGTTCTCGTCAAAAGGAAAGTGACGCTCCTTGTTTACACACCTGGATGCCATGTGTGAGTTGTTCATAATAATAGTGAGTTTATACGTGCGTGCAGGCGTTACGAGACACGACCGCTTTTATACACCGTTTTCTTCAGCAACAGTGCACAATCTAGATACACAAAAAATTGGTTATAAATAATATAAAGGACGATCATTATCTGCGTTCATATTAATCAAGTTCATAATTAATCTTGGGGCGTACAATAAGACAAGTTTCGATACGTCTCATACGACAATCTTTCTCGCACGGTTGATAAACGCACGCGGTTTTGATATATTAAAGAGAAAGTTTGTATGCAACATTCGCATAATTATTTTGAATCTTCCTGCGAGATTAGAAAATTGCCGCTTCACTCCTGCGTAGTGAACGGACGTCGCGTATTGAAGTTAACGCAACCCAGATGCGAAATTATCAGGCCATTAAGCGATTATCGCTAATCGATTCCACGGGTACATCATGCGATTTAAAAAACAATTATGAAACGCATAAACATTAATTGAGCTTTCCTTTTATTCCGTATTCTACACTATAATATACTAAAACATGATGCGCAATATACTAAAACAGTGTAATGTAACGCAAATGAGAATTAATGCACTCTGCAGTATCCATACTTTTCTGTCGCGTTATATATATTTGTTTGTGAGCCGCTCAAACTAAACCTGCCCATTTGTTCATCAAATCTTGCTTAAGATCAGGATTCCATCGTGTCTCAATCGTATCGAATTTCGATGGTGCGATGTAAGAAATTCCCGACATTCCTGATCGAGGAAAGAAAGACGATGTCACGGTTGCAACTGCGGGTGGACCGAAGGAATGCCCTCTCGAGTTTCCTCCCCCTTCGGCGTGCAAGCTGATCGATCTATCG